AAAATCAATTTTTTTTTTCTCTTGTTTCTTTATTTTTACTGATTTTTTTATAAATATTTTAAGTAATTTTTTTATTTTATTTTTTAGATACTCCTAATCTAGATATACTTAAGAAGTATAATATTTTGTGATTTTTTTTTTAAATTCATCAAATACAAATATATATATATATATATATAAATTTAATACATTATCTTATTTTGTTGTATTCAATGATTTTTTTAAATTTTTTTGTACAAATTTTATACTTTTTAATATATTTAGATTAAATTGATCTAATTTACATATAATAGTGGAAATAAAAATAAAAAATTATATTCATATATAAAAATTTATACAAAAAATATTATAAAACTATTGTGATAGCAATATTGTTATAAATATAAATCATGTTTATGGGTATTTTATTTTAAAATGAAAGGTTACCATTAAACTATATCATTGTGTTTGAAAATTCTATATAAAATTTATATTTGTATATCATTACTCAATAAGAATATGTTTAAGTAGAATTTAATGATTGAAAGCTATAGAATATAGTAATGATGATAGGAAAAAAAATAGTAGAAAAAATGTCAAGATGATCGTTTAAAAAATTTAGGGCATGACATCAGCAAGTCATGAGATAATTTGTAATGAGATTACAAACCTCAGGGAATGAAATATAATTTTTCAAATGTGAAGAAGAAATCTGTATTAAATAGAAATCTCAGTTTGTGTCAGTGTAATTTACCCTTTAATTAATTATTTTTGGGTAAAATACAATGTTGAATCCTCTAGTTTGAGCAAAAATTCAATTTGATCCCAGTACTTTTAATTTTAACAATTTAAACCTTGCCTTTTATGTTTTGTTGCAATCTGATCATTTTTTTCATATACTACACTATTGTATGTGTTTGATTTGAGTTTTCTGGATTAAGTTTTTTGAAAATTAAATTTTTTGGTTTTCATATTCTTTTGTTTTTAGTGAATATTTTTTAAATTTTAAATATTTTTTTTACTTTTTTAGATGCACCTTAGTTAGATATATCTAAAAAGTAAAAAATTTGTGAAAAAATATTTTAAAAAATTAATAAATACATAAAAATACAAAAAATGTACTGAATTCTTGTATTTTTTTTTGTATTTTTGGTATTTAGTGAATTTTTAAAAGATTTTTTTTTATAATTTTTTTACTTTTTAGGTGCATTTATGTTAGGTGTGTCTAAAAAGTAAAAAAAATTGCTTAAAATATTAAAAAAATTCAGTAAAAATTAAAAAATACAGAAAATAAGAAAGTAAAATTTTCTGAATAATGTTTTCTGAAAAATGAAAACAAGTAAGCTGATTAGAATTTTGAATAGAAATAGATTACATGTAAAACTAGATAGATAAAAATGGAATTTAAAAAAAAAATTATAGGAACTGTTGATATTATTTATTCATTACAATGATAGTTCTTATGGTTTTTTTTTTTAATTTTATTTTGATTCTTTTAATTTTACATGTGATAATTTCTTTTGTTTAAAATGTTAATTAGCAGTTGACCCTATAATGCATGTACTATTTTTTTTTTCAAAAAATATTTGATAGTACAATATGTATTATAAAAGAATAATTTTAATTTTAAATAAAGTATGATTTTAATTATTTATTTTGATAATATTAGAACTATCGTTCTATAAATTTGTTACTTAAATACTTATATATACTATAATATAATTATATATATTAATTTTAGTTAAATTATTTGTGTATTTTGATAATTTTAGTTATATTGTATCATAAAAGTGTAATTATCATTTAATAATTTTGTATGATAAATTATAAAATAGTAAAATAAATACTCATTTTGATATTAAAAATAATAGTTAAACTAGAAGAGGAATTAGTAACATAAAATAAAAATTAATTCTAACTTTTTAATTTTCTTTTATTTTGTTTGGAAAATAAAATATGTAAAAATAGAAATTATATAAAATTTATTAAAAAAATTATATATAAATATATTGTGGTTGGATTTTCATATAATAATTTTATACGATATATATATTAAATTATATAATTGTAAAATAAACACTCTTAATTAAATTAAAATATCAATTATATAAAAAAAATCCAATAACTATTAGCCAAGAAAGAATCATATAATAACATCTAAACCTAAAAAGAAAAAATAATGAAAATATTCAAACGATAGATATATCTCAATATGTGAAGTGATTAATTATATGTAATATGATGTCAAAATATAAAAGAATTTATTGTTTAACAATTGAAAAACTAACTCAAGTAGTAAATCTAAACTTTAGAGATTCCTCGAGAGTATCATTGTTGTGTAGTTTTTTTTCTCCTGTGAATTGTGATTATATAAAATAATATAAGAAATGAAATATAATTTTTTATATATAATCACTATAAAATTTAAACGACAAATCCGTAATAGAGAATTGGTATTAGGTATAGAATAATGCATAGAAAAATAAGAAGAAAAAAATGCAATTTAGCATTAAAAAAAATCTTAATACCCTTGAAAGAATTACGAAAAAAAAATGTGAAACGCAAAATTTGATATTAGGTTAGTGGATTATCTCAATTTACTATGAAAAATATATGGAAAAGAATTATTTGTCAAATGTAGTCCATATAAAATATATAAAATTATAATTTAAATTAAGTTTGGATTTATGTAGAACTTTATATTTAATTAAGAAAATATATATTGACGTGACTCTTTTAAAAAAAAAATTAAGTTTTTGTAATATGTTACTTAAACATAAGAAAAACACTAATTTTAGTAAAGGTCCAGCTTGTCTCATATTGGGATAGACTGGACCTATCTAGTCCGGCTCATGGGCCCATTTTTGGGCCCTATTTCAATAATTTGAATTGTTAATGTGTAAAACTCGTCGAATATTATATCTCTATAAAAACTTATGTTGATCGGATATCGATAGTTATTTAATCGGATTAGATTTGTATTAAAAAAATGAACGGTAAAAAAATAAACGCTTGATAGAATTTTAATCCGATCAAATAGCTGTTAATATCTGATCAACGTGATTTTTTTACAAGGATATAATACTTGTCGAGTTCTACACATTCAACGATTCATATTATCTAAACGAAATCCAAATATGGACCCATGGGTCGGATAAAACGGGTCCAATCTTGATGTCAACGTGAGACTAAAAAAAATATATATATATTTTTTTCGATACATAAAATATATATATATATATAACAATGATTGAGACCTTTTTTTTTTTGAGACCTCACAATCCCTTCTGGATCTCAACTATTGATGGTACGTGTCCCATACATATATGAGTGAATTTTACACCTACATCAATAATTGAGATCTAAAAAAATAATTAAGTTCTAAAAAAAAACTGTGAGAGTTCAAAAAAAAATATAAGCATTTTTCGTATACATATGACATGATGACACAAAACGGAAAACAAAATTGAAAATTATTTAAAATGATAAGAAGTAAAATGACACTTTGGCTCAAACTAGAGGACAAAAAGTGTAAATTACCTTAAACATGGAAATAAAAATAAAATAATAATACAACATGTATCAATTAATTAATATATATATATATATTAATATATAAATTAATATTATGTCATCTTACTACTTCAAAATCTCTAAAATTAAAGGATTGTTTAGAATGACCTAAATAAGTATATTTTTTATCTTTTTATGAAAAAAATATAAAAAAATAAAAAGATGATGTGATAAAAAAAAGATAAAAAGATAAAAAAATAGATTATTTTGATGTTGCCAAACTTGATATAAGTTATAAAATCTCTAAATTTAGGATAAATTACCAATAAATCCCATTTCACAAACTGTTAAACCAATTAGTCCTAACTTTATTTTTTTGTTCGGATAAGTCCTATTAGTGGAGAGGGTTGTTTCTGTCTGATCCTATTTTCCATATGTGGTGTCACTGTGTGGACAATTTCACCCTTTATTGTTATGTTTTCATATTCTGTTATGGGATCACGTGATTCTTTCGATTTTGTGGCTATCACAGTTGATATTTCAATGGTACATGTTTCAGCCTTTTCGTCTTAGGGTATTCTGTTGTATCTCGTCCAACTTCCTCACCCATTTCGTTCTCTGCAAGTTCTTGTCACCATATTAGAAAGAGAGAGAGGTCCCCCGTGTGTCGTCCCTGTCCATCTCCCTCAAGCGCTCAAGTATGGATGCATGTATGTGTCTGTGTATGGTGTGTGATGCTCTCTCTCTCTCTAAACCGTGTATGTATGTCTGGTCTGTTGGGTGTAATCCTCTCCCTCTCTCAACCGTGTGTGTGTCAACGGTCCCTTGGGTGTGTGTCCAAATCTATCAATGCGTATGCATCTCGGTCTTCAGTGTGTGTTGTGAATGTGTGTGTGTCTGCCTGTGTGGTGATGTGTGTGTGTGTGTGTGTGTGTGTATCTGTGTGTGTGTCTGCCCCTCGTAATGTATGTGTGTATCTGTGTGTGTGTGCGTGTATCTGTGTGTGTGTGTATCTGTGTATCTGTGTGTGTGTGTGTGTATCTGGTCGAGAGGCTGCTCGAAGTACCGGGTTTCGTACTGGTATTTTTGTTGGGTCATGGATTGGGGTTTTGTGAGGAGAGAGGATTTGCCGAGGAATCGAGGGACCCATTTGGAGGAAGATCGAAACGAAGCTGAGGCTGCGGAGAGAGAGAGAAGGAAGATCAGACAGAGAGTGAGAAGTGGAGTGATGGGTTTAATCGCCATTGTTATCTGAGTGAGTGAGTTGGGTCAACAGAAGAATTCGGGGTTGGGTTTTTTAGGAAGTTTGATTGGTGCAGAGAGAAAGTGAAACATGGTACTAAACGGTTAGACGAGGGTAATTACGTCCCTCACAATTAAATGAGACTAAATGGTTTATTAGAATAAAAATAGGACCAATTGATTCATAAGTTTACATTTTTGGATTTATTGGTAAATCTCTCCTAAATTTAAGTTATCTGTTAATTAGTATATTAATCGATACCTATTATTCAAAACCAAAACAATTTGGCGTGTGAAGCTGAAAATGTCTCAGTTTTCAGAGATTGTTTCGGTTTTTTCGACAAAATTTCGAACCAAACACAGTGTAACCGTCCTTTGATCTTTATCGGAATCTATTCTTCCTAACTAGGGTTTATTCATCTTCATCTTCTTATCTCTCTCTCTCTAGTTCTGTTGTGTTGATGAAACAATTGAACGTGGACCTCCTCGATTCTCGGACGATCATGGATTCGGACTTCTCTCCAGGCGGTGGCCTCTCTGGGTCGGGTACTGACACCGATTTCGCCTTCGCCTTCAACGACAGCAACTTCTCGGACCGTGTGCTTCGGATCGAAATCGTACCCGATTTGCCGGAATCCAAGTTGGATTCCGAGGGTTGTAGCAGTATCGCCGTTTGGGATCGCAACAGAAAGCGAAGAAGAGAAGACATCAAGAAAGAAACTGGTAACTCTTTCATGCATACATACATGTGTTTCTGCTATTGTAGACTAATTTTCTCTTGATTTTTCTTGCATAATTCGTAAATTTATTGGGTTTTGATTGCTGGGTTTTTGTTTGAGTGTTCGATTTTTGTCTGTTGTGTTCTTCTTTATGACATTTTTGGTGGGATTTCAATGAAAAGGGAATTTTTTTTGAAGAAAGTTCAGAGTTTTGATAAGTAAATAGTTTAATTTATTGTGAAGCTTTGTAAAGATAAGATTGTACTTGAATTAAGGGTTTTCTTGAGATGTTTGGTGGAATTTCAATGAAAAGGATATATATATATTTTTTTTTCAAGAAAGTAGTTTTGATAGGTAAATGATTTAGTTTGTTGTGAAGCTTTGTAAAGATAGGAGTGTACTTGAATTAAGGGTTTTCTTGAGATGTGCCATATGAGGATATAGGTGAAGATTGGGTCAGACGATTCACACCCTGCTTTGTTAATGGGATTGTCAGTGTGCTGACTGGGTGAATTTTTTTGAAGGATAGCAATTGTGGATGCCTGCTTGTACGTAGGGTTTGTGAAACTTTTTTTGGGCCAAAACTAGCAACTTCATCAGCCTGGATTTATTGGTTGTCGGAGAAGTGTCCTATTAGGGTGTGTTTTTGTGATTCAGTATCCCATGGCACCTCAAAGTTCTGACTTTCCACTTTTTTTTTTTGTTTTTTTCTTCTCTTTTTCTTAAGGGACTTTCAAAGGGGTGGGTGGGGTTGTGGCGAGGATCTTGAATAAATTTCTTTTAATTGGACTTGATAGAGGAGTTGTAAGAATAGAGGAGGAATGATTGATGAGTGGGAAATTGATGTGAATGGGTTAACTTTGGTTCTTGTTCTTCTCAAGAAGAAAAATTAGTCAATGATTAATTTTATGCCCCTTTTTTATTTTTTTTAAGGCCAAGTTTGGGAAGACTAAATAAGTGCACTTTTTGACTTTTTTTGTATTATGTGTGAAAAAAAGTAGAGAGGAGATGTTGATTGATGTGACCTAAAAAAGATAAAAAAATGAAATAAGTGCACTTTTTTATGTTAGCCAAACTTGGCCTTAATATTAAAGATGGATGGCTGTTGCCATTGCCATTTTAGCTCCTGCTCCATTTAAGACTTGAGTCCATCTAATTTTAAGCGAGGTTGTACTTGATGGGAACTGTTTTTGGCAGCTAGGTTGATATTGGGCGTGAAAAAACCATGAAGCCAGCAAAATTTCTTGTGTGACCATAGCATGGTTAATAGGGCCAAATTATGAGGTCTTTGTTGGGTATGAACTATGAGGCTCTTATCTCCATCATAGAAGAAGATGATAGGTCCAACTGTATGACAATACAATACTGGTATTGTTCTCTGCTATGGCTCCTGCCAGACAGTGGTTGCTCTAACTCTCACTCATCACATACTAGGGTTTGTAAGTTGAATGGGACATTTCGAAAAGGTGAGAAATTTGATGGTGCATATTGTTGGGTTGGGTTAATGTGACAGCTCATTAATCATTGAATCAAGGGGTGGGAAATGGAACAACAATATGTGTGGACGTGTTTGGTTGGTTGGGGTTTTCTTAGACCTCTATCTAAAGCAAGGTTGGGTTTTGATTAATCAACCCCAAACCTTCCCATATTCGAAAATAAGCTGCCCAAACCTAATGTTTGGGTTATGCCTGGTTGACCTCAATCAAGTCACGGCCCTTTATTTATGTTTATTTTTTGATAAATAAGCGAGCGAAACTATATTATAAAAGCATCAAAGATGATACAAAGAATAACAAAAATCCCAACAAAAGAAAACACTCTCTAACCAATAACCTCATCCAAAAATTCTAAAAAACCCAACATATCCGAATCAGCCTTCAATTCTAACCAACTATACAAAACAAGAAGTAAATGACTCTCAAGCCCACTAACACTACGCTAAGGGGTTGTTTGGGGTGTCTTAAATAAGTTTACTTTTTGTCTTTTTGGACTAAAAAATTGAGGGAAAAAATATGAATGTTTGGGTTAACTTTTTGACTTTTTATGGAAAAATGTGTAATAAAAAATTGTAAAAATTAGTTTGTAGAGGAAAATTAGGATTGGGAGTTGTGCATCCGTAATTGTTGACTTTTGGTGAATAGTGTTAACTTTTTAACTTTTTGAGTAACTTTTTGACTTTTTTTAAGTATCCCAAACTTGGCCTAAATCTCTTGAAACTTGCATCTATTCCGTTTCAACCACACTAACCACATCAAACAAAAAGGAACCAAATACCACACACGCCGTCGACGACGCCCAACCCGAGCCCCACGCCAGCTCCACAACATATCCACCACCCTCCGTGGCTGAACCCAAACAATCCCAAAAAGAGAGTAAACAAAACCCATAGACGGAATGCCACGGAACAATGTAGGAACAAATGATCGACGGACTGTTTATGAAATCTTTAACTGCAAAATATGTTCTTGTTTTTAGCTGCAAATTAAATATATAAAACTTGAGATGTGAAGAATGCTAGTTTTCTATTTATCATGTACTTATTAGATTATTAGGGGGAAAATGTATCATTTTCATGTAGTACACTTCTTTATAGGTAGAATGAAGATGTTTTGTTTGTTTGTTTGTTTGTTTGTTTGTATTCTCTAGCAAGTGTGTAGATAGATGATATTGGCCCTGTTTGGTAGAGCTGTGGGAAAGTGTTTATAGCTTATGCCTTGACAGCTTATAGCTTATAACTATTAACATAAGCTGATTTCTGACTTATAAATTATGCTTCTCCTGCTCCACTCAAAGAATAAGCTGATTTCTGACTTACAAAAAGTTATAAGCTTTATTGTTAAGTTAAAACAAACACATTAAAATAGCTTAAATTAAGCTGAAAGCTGAAATAAGCTGAAAAAAAGCTGTACCAAACAGGGCCATTATGATATTTTAGAGATTTAAGGTGAAGGAATTGGGTTTATGATTTTAAATTGTGCTACTCTACCAACGATTGGCTTCCTATATTCTATGCCGACCTTGAGACTCATTTGATCCTACTATTTATCCCCCATTCGCCTTTGTTATTCTGGTGGCAAATTAAATATGGTTATGAAATTTGGACATGTGGGGTGGAAAAGGGTTTTATATTTTTTGGGGGGTGCTCTCATTCACTTAGGTATGTATGGGGCACAAGGTACTGTCTAAGGTGGCGTTTTTTTTTTTTTTAATATTTATTTTGTGTTGTGCATCTCATGGTAAGGTCCTCACCATTGATAATTTGATTAGAAAAAGACAAATGCATGCCAATTGGTGGTGTATATGTATTATGTGTAAGCACTATTTGAAAAGCACGAGTCACCTTCTTATCCATTGTGAGGTGGTTGCGGAAGTTGTGGTTGTTGATTTGTATCTTGTTCGGAAGGGACTGGACATTCTCTACGAATGTGAAGGATTGTCTTTGTTTTTGGAGAGGTGTTAGTGTGGGGAGGAGGAGGAAGAAATTGTGGTGCTTAGCTCTCTTGGCAATCGTGGATAATTAAGGGAGAAATGAATAGAATAACTTTTGTTGGTAAAGAATGATCAATTTTGAGGTTAAATAGTAAAATTTTGGCTGTTTTGTATAGTTGGTTTTTGGGGATGGTTAACCCGTTCTTGACTCAATTTTTGGACTTTGTGGAGACCTTTGAATAGGTTTCTGATGTATAATTTTCCTTGACGCTTTTTATACATGGGTTGCACCCTTTGTTTTCTAATAGAATCTTTATACTTATAAAAAAAAAAAAAAAAAATTAATTGTTATTTATCATGATTTATTACTGATATAGTGGCAGTTTGACCTGTAGCGTAAGAGTTTGTTATGGACTGATTTCATGGTACCATGAAATTAGGGTTGGGGAATCGCAAGACCACAGCAAGTATATGAACATTTTGTGTGTTCCAACAATATCAGCTTTGTGTATGGAGTGCTATTGTTTCAAGTCGTGCTATATTCTCTCATGACACTTTTGGTTGGAAGAATGAGGAGGAATAAAGTCAGAACAATCTTTATGAAATGCTCAGATATGTTTCAAATGAATGTTACAGTATCTATAAATGTGATTGGCTTCAACAGTTCCTCCCAACATCTCAATATATTAGAACTGGTGTTGAGCATTGTTGAAGGAGTATGCAAGGGCTTCATAGAATGTAAAGTTTTCAGTTTGTGATTCCTTTCTAGACTAAGATAAGAGCCAACATTATAGAAGGGGTCAAGTTGAGGTCGTAGTTTTTAGACTTTTTGCAACATTTTCCCCCCCTTGGTTTTTAATCATTCTACATTTAATATTTTGCAACTTTAATAGGGGTCAACCAAAGCTGCATTTCAGTTGGTTGTGTTGTGTAGTGAACCAGCTACCAAAATGGCATTGGGTGGAGAGAGCTGAGAGAGATTAACCAAGTCACAGTAGCCTATTTCATAATGTATTTTTCTAGTTTCTCTACCAAATTACCAATAACTTGAGGGGAAAAATGAACTCTTAAAATGTGGTGGTGTGTGACTAATAATGTTCTTGATAATTTCTGATAAGGATGGTGCTATTTATAAAAGTTCATACATAATTTGTCTCTCTTTAGTGGACTTTTTTCAAAATTTGATATATATATATTAAATTTTAAGGGTCTTCTCTAGTCTAGTAGGACCTAAAAGTGAAAAGCTTTTTTGGGAAAAATTAAAACTAAAAATGAAAAAAAAAAAAAAAAAAGCCAACCAAAAAGTTTCTAAAAAGCAATTGCCAAACCACCTTTTAATGTTGTATTAAATATGTAAGTTCAGAGAGAGGGGAAGGAAGATGATGAAAGCTGTGGTAGTGTAAAGATGTTGGTGGGTGATGGTTACGGTGGATGGAAGTGGTGAAGGTGGGTGGTGAGAAAGTGGTGAAGGTGAACAATAGTAAAAAGTGAGGTGAAGTGGATAATATGCATAGAGAGGAGAGAGAAAGGAAAAGGGAGAAATAGAAAAGGATGGCCTTTGTGTGTTTTTGTCTTTTCAATAATTTGACTTTTCAACACTGATTTTTTATTGCAAGACTACATGTGTAATATTATTTTTGTCGTTACCGTTGACAGCTCTGACAGGGGAGAACATTTTAATTTCAGAAACTACAATAGAGATCCATGTAATTATCAGAAACCTTAGGGGAGGTCTATGGAATCCCTTTATTTTATGTTTTTGAAATAGGTTTGATTACATGTATACATGCCAGCTGCCATCTGGAAAGTTTAAAAACAAGCACATTTACATGATGCTTTCATTCCCATTCAATTTTGATTTACTGATTTGGGCTATAAATACTCTTTTACCCTTAGCTGTGGATGTGCTAGTGCATTGTGAGGAGCAGGTTTTGAATTGTAACATGCCGGATACAGAGGATGGTGTTGCCTACGAAAATGAAGATGAGGAAGTTGTGGCAATGCTTGAGGAAACACCGTCAGCTGGTGGAATGAATACACATCCACTTGGTACAAATTTTACTTTCTTCTTTGAACTTTGTTCTTCTCTTCCCAAAAATAAAATTACAATTGAACAAGTACAAAAATATTAAGAGATTGTTAATTTTATGAAACCAAAACAACAATAATGATGCTGACAATAAAAAAAAAGAAGAGAGTAGTATGATCTAGAGTACCTATTCTGTCTGTTTTGCTACTAATAGAATGAATTGTGTAGTTTACTATATGAAATTATTTGGTGAGAAATTTGAAGTTATAGAAATGCCAAATGTAGATTGCTTTGATCATCAGTGATCTGTAATTCCATTTCATTGATATTGATGGGTTCAGTGGCTCAGATTTTAAGATTAATTAGATGCTTCTGCAGGTGATGAAGCTCCTCACAGCAATAATTTGTGCTGGAATGTGGAATGTTCAACTGTTCTTCGGGTCAAGACTATACACATCAGCTCTCCAATTTTGGCAGCAAAGAGTCCATTTTTTTATAAGGTCAGGATTCCAGAGTCTTTCTCTGGCTTTATGCTGATTTTACTTGGTGTAATGGCTTGCCTAAATGGCTCATTGATCTATCTTCTCTTGCAGCTTTTCTCGAATGGGATGAGAGAATCAGAGCAGCGGCATGTAACTCTAAGAATCCGTGCATCTGGTAAATATAGAAATGTATCAAGTTTTCATTTTTGGTTAACTGTGGAAATTACTGGTAATGTTATGTCAAAGCTCCATAAACTAGTAAAGTCTTATGTTGTCAATTTTTGTGTTGGTGTTGGTCTGTATCTGTGTACCTTTGGAACCCATTTGTGTTCTTTTCTGCTATTTTCTTCATTCTTTTTGTCTGAAAAAAACTGAGTAGATGAATTGAACTGACTAGCTTCTCTTTTTTTTTTTAATAATAATTGTTGTGGAGCAGAGGAAGCTGCCCTCATGGACCTCCTGAATTTTATGTATAGTCATACTTTATCAACAACCTCATCTTCTGCTTTGCTGGATGTGCTGATGGCTGCCGACAAATTTGAAGTTTCTTCATGCATGAGACACTGCAGCCGGTTATTGCGAAACTTGCCTATGACTTGCGAGTCTGCCTTGCTCTATTTGGATCTTCCTTCTAGTGTTTTAATGGCTGAAGCAGTCCAGCCACTGACAGAGGCAGCAAAGCAGTTTCTTGCTGCTCGTTACAAGGACATAACGAAGTGAGTTTTCTCTGCTACATAACTTTATTCAATTTCTTTGTGATTGAGTAGTTGAGAATTAGAAGGCTTCATTTGCTTTCTGGAAATACCAAGTGAGGGAAGGAAAATATGTGGACATTGTTTCTTAATTCATTACAAGTAATTTAATTTTTCGCTTTTTTAGGTTTTAATTTATGTTTGTACCGGCAGTTTAAATTTCTATTTTAGTGCTTTCTTTTTTGGCTTTATAAAATCAGATAAGAATAGTGACCTCTGTATAGGATTTTTATGTGGCAAGTTCAAACTGTTTTGGGTTTAGAACTTTTATTATTATTAGTTTTTGGAGTGAACTCAATTTCTGGAATCTTCTGTTTGAATTAATATAATTTGAGTTATTTCTTTCTAGGTTCCAAGAAGAAGTGCTGAATTTGCCTTTAGCCGGAATCGAAGCCATACTGTCCAGTGATGATCTCCAGGTAGCTTCGGAGGATGCTGTTTATGATTTTCTACTGAAGTGGACTCGAACCCATTACCCCAAACTGGAGGAACGACGAGCAGTGCTAGGCTCACGCCTTGGTCGCCTCATCCGCTTCCCATACATGACTCCCCGAAAACTGAAGAAAGTTCTCACATGCAACGATTTTGATACAGAGCTATCTTCAAAGGTCGTCCTCGAGGCTCTATTTTTCAAGGCAGAGGCACCATACCGTCAGCGTTCTCTTGCTGCAGAGGAGGCCAATGCCTCTGGTCGTCGGTTTGTAGAGCGGGCATACAAGTACCGCCCAGTTAAGGTTGTGGAGTTTGAACTGCCACGTCAGCAGTGTGTTGTGTACCTGGACCTGAAGCGGGAAGAGTGTGCGCATCTGTTTCCATCTGGTCGGGTTTACTCGCAGGCCTTCCATCTTGGTGGGCAAGGTTTTTTCCTTTCTGCCCACTGCAATATGGACCAACACAGTTCGGTCCATTGCTTTGGGTTGTTCTTGGGAATGCAAGAGAAAGGGTCGGTGACTTTTGCAGTTGACTATGAGTTTGCAGCGAGGTTGAAACCTACCGAGGAGTACGTGAGCAAGTATAAAGGGAACTACACATTCACCGGTGGAAAAGCTGTTGGGTATCGTAACCTTTTCGGTATAGCTTGGACTTTATTCATGGCTGAAGACAGTCTTTTTTTCATCAATGGCATTCTCCATCTCCGGGCTGAGCTTACCATCAAACAATGACTTACGAATTGTGTTTATAGACAGTCGCTGATTTTTTAGATGTCAGGCAAGGGGCTGGGTTAAAGATCATAGTAGGGGAGTAGTCTGTAGTATTATGTGAAAACTGAGTACCCCAGAAATATTATTCATGTATGTGCTATTGTTATGTATATGCAGTAGTTCTCTTGTGTTTTCATTTATTATTCGCAGTTGATAAATAGTTACTTCATTTGATCTGTTTTATGAAGAGTTCATATTTGATCTGGGTATTGAATATTGATGTTTAGGTTGTTCTGGTAGAGCAATAGATATGGTTGGACTGGCTACATAGATAAATAAACAGGGAATGGGCATGCAGAGAGAGAATCATTACTGTCATTACCAACTTTCTTCGCCTTTGGCTTCTTCCACCATTTAATGCTAAAATGTCTCCAAAGAGTGGAGAGAGAGGGAGGTAGGTGCAATCAGTGCCAGTTGTTAATCCCCTCATTTCATGGGCTAAGATTCTCTCACTGTTCATCAGCAACCTATGATATGATTGTATTTCTCTGTGTTGAGAATCCATGGTTAAGGAAGTCATTTATCATGGGACCCATTACAAGCATGACTTCCAAGCATCATTTGTCTTATAAATGGTACATTACATGTTCGTCTGTCGTGTGTGTGTTTTTATGTATTTATTATAGTCGTACAATTTGATTTTTATTTTTAAAAAAAATTAAATTATTTAATTGTAAAAGATATGACAGAAGGAACAACACTTTTTCAGAGGGAAAGGATCCTAAAAAACCCCTTTTCCTTAATGCTGTGTTTGATTGAAGGATTTGAGGAGGGATTTGGAAAGGGAAATGGAAAAAGTAGGTGAAATGTGAAAAAAATATACCTATATTTCACATAGTTTCACACAACTTTTCCCTTTGCCTTTTTAAATCCCTCCCCAAATTCCCCAACCAAACACAGCATAAATGACCCCTCTTTGTGACCGTTAACTTGATATTGGTGAAAACTTTTAGCAGCTGGGGCTATATGGTACTCAAGAACCCAAAAAACACTCCATAGATGACTAGACTTGCCTTTGGGAAAGTCAAATTGAGCTGACAATTCTCATTGTTAGATAGATCTTCTTTCTCTTGATGCAATGGAATACAAGGTGTTGAATTGTGGTTCTAGCAATATTTGCCATTACTTGCCATGCAGTGAGCAACAAATGTTGAGATCGGCTCTGTTGATTCTCTCCATGTTCTTTCCACTAGTTCACAGCGTTAACAACTTTACCAGTGATGAATCTTTAGATGTTCTTCTCCAAGATCTTGCTTTCAAAGCTCTACTTCAGCATCGACCTCACACCGGTGCTCTGTACAAAGCCAGCCTCCCTGCCAATCTAGCAGGCATGGAAATCTCAGTTGTACGTCTTCGAAGCAAGACATTGTGGAACAGAGGTGCTAATTTTAGCTACATTCACATCCCACTCAGGTCTACACTTCCAATGCCTCATGTGAAGAGAATTCTCATAGTCTATACAGATCTTGGCAATTGGTCTTCTTACTACTACAAGATCCCGGGTTACTCACTTGTGTCCTCTGTTGTTGGTTTCATGGCTTATGATGTCTCAAATGTAAGCTCCAACGGTGTCACCAAGATCAGTCTCGACACCACTGGAAAGCCAATGGAGATTCGATTTCGCGACTTGACATTCCCACAAGACAGAATCCGAAGAAGGTGTGCTATGTTTAGTGCTGATGGGATGGTTTATCTCAGCGACCTGAGCACAGAGAATGTGTGCAGTAGTAGAAATCAAGGGTACTTCTCAATAGTTGCTCCATTGAAGAGGAAGAAGACGGTGAGGAAGGGGTTTGTGCTAGGATTTGTAGGAGTGGTGTTGGTTTGTGTTGTTGGGATAGTAGTTGTGAAGTTCGTGGCAGCGAAGAAAATTCACAAAATGGAGAGAGAAGCTGGTGAAGGTGAAGAGCTCGAAACAATTTGGATCGGTACGAGCAAAATGTTTTCTGCAGCTGTTACAAGAACTCATCCGGATCTTGAGGATGCAAGCCTTTCATAGATCTTTTCTTTCTTTGTTTCATTTTTCTCAAAAATACCAGCTGAAAGTTTATTGGATGGATCTCTTTACAGGTAAGAAAGATATTTGTCTTTGCATCTTTTTGGAAAAAAAAAAAAAAAAAAAAAAAGAAAAAAGAAAAAGAAAAAGAAAAAAGAAAATAAGTGATTAAGAGCTTAATTTGCCAAAATATAGCTTTAATAATACGAAGCATTGTGGGGGTGACATTTTCATATAGAAGTCCGTCGTCATTTTCAGTGTATGGTATTTTCTCCGTCTAATGTTTACCTTTGCTGAATTGGTGATTTCATTTGTATGTATTTTCCGTATGAGCAACAAGTCTAAAGACACTAATAGATCATTGTTTGATCATTATTCAGAAGAGGAGAAACTTTCCACAGAATTTTTTTTAAAAAAATAATAACAATAAGAACAAGAACAAGAACAAGAAAAAGAAAGGTTTTTCAAGTCTGTGCTGTAGTATGATTTCTATCAATTTTCAATATAAGGCCTTATGAATAGACTCCAAATAACAGGCAAAAAAATAGCTCTAGATACAAGCAATCACTCGCAAACCACATGTATTGAATAAGCTAAGTGAGTAAAACTATAAAGTTGAGAATAGCAGAAAAATAAAATGCAAATCCAGACTGCTTATGCAATCAGTTACGCCCTCAGAAAAATACCTTCACCGACATGTTCATCTTAAGCAATATTAATGTCAGTACCAAAGAAGCAGACAGACAGTTCACCATCATTAATCATCACATAAACATGACGATTTTTTGCTGACTTCAAAGTGTTTTGATATCTATGTTTCCAATTCACTACATAAATATAGGCCCCATTTGGTAGAGCTGTGGAAAAGTGATTATAACCTATAGCCTAACAGCTTATAGCTTATAACTGTGAACATAAGCTAATTTTTGACTTATAAATTAACCTTCTCCTCTCCCATTCAAAGAATAAATTGATTTTTGATTTACAAAAAGTTATAAACTGTATTATTAAGTTGAACCAAATACGTCAAAATAGCTTAAATTAAGGTAAAAGCTGAAATAAGTTGAAAATAAACCCTACCAAACAGGGCCATAATATTCTTCCTAACATAAGGACTACCTTCCTCATTTTCTTAGACAATAGAGCCACAGCCACAACAATAGGCTAGCTAGTTAGACGTTTAAACAAAAATAAAGGTCCAAGTGAGAACGCCACAATTCAAACTCTAAATTTTACCAACAAGCATCTGTATCAGAGATGACGAAAAAAGTATAAGGAAACACAAGCAAACACAAAAAACACAAGCAAAGGCATCATATTCATCACATAAGCTACCAATTTTAGTTCACAAATCTGTGCTTGTCACGACCCCAAACCGCCCCTAGTAGGATGGTGCCGTGATGGCCAGTAATTCGAGATTACTGAAGGCCAATTTTTAAAAATCCACACACAACAGAGTATAAATATACGGGGCTCACAAGTACGGAAGCAATACATACAAATCAGATTAGTCCATGAGAGCTGTGCGTAAGTCAAATGAAATGGCAAACATCTTCACATGGGTTACAACTTAGTACAAATGAAGTAAAGTACTTAATACATTTTGATCAAAAGGCTTCTCAAGCCGACGTGTGCAAATTACAAGTATTACAAGTCGAGAAGCATAATTTTCAAGACTGCCGAAGTGATTACAAGTCAAGCCGACATAACCAAAAATCCAAAACAAGCTCGCGAATCACATCTAGGCGTCACCGCCTTCTTGCTCATCACCTACATATATATAGATAGAGAGGGTGAGCTTGGATACTCAGTGAATGGTACAAGTAATAAAGGGATTTTCATGAATAATAGCCGAAGTCTTTTCGAAACGATACATATCAAAACTTTATATAACAAGGGATGAACCTCGTCCATCTAGCAAATCTTTAAAGCTTCAAGGGATGCTTACTAGCATCAACACATTACAAATGATAACATTCCGAACAAACAACCCACGCGGTAAACCGTCAGTGGCAAAACAAGACAAAGCAAGGGAGATATCTCAAACAAGGGTGCTACAAAAGTTTAGAGTCCTCTAGCACAAGGACCTATGTTACAAAGGCCCGTAGCCCCCTAACACGAGAGTACTGCGAAAGTTTAGAGTCCTCCAACACGAGGGACTTTCAAAACAAGATGTGCAGTTGCATTATAATCCTCTGGCACTAAGGACTTTCAAAACAAGATGTGCAGTTGCATTATAGTCCCCTAGCACTAAGGACTTTCCGAGAATGTCATCAAAACAAGATAGTGCTTGATATACAAAATAGGGACAATCATTCATGCTTAACAAATACTTTTCTAAAGCAAACAAGGCAAAACTTTATCAAAACTTAATAACATAACCTTATTAAAAATACCACTCACATAGTTCTTCAAACGTCGGGGTCAAGGCAAAAGTCCGAGTCCTACAAACACATGGCAAAGTCGATTGAACGTACTTTCAAACAAGATTTACATGCAAACAGATGATCTCGGCGTTCGTCAAAAACTAAGTTAAATCAAAACAAAACACTGTTTTTTCATCTCGGGGAAATATGCTGGGTATCAACCAGATCTTGGCCGAGGTCCCACACCTTCTCGCCGAGGTGTGTTTCCGATGGCCACATTCAAAAGCGAAGTCGGGAAAATCTGGGTTTCCCTTTGAGGAATATGAAGAACATGAAGATGGAGAAGATGGAGAACATGCATGCTAAAATCATAACTTGTTATTACAAAGTCTGAGATTTCGTGCTATGAGTTCGAAAACATGGACCTGGGCACCCATATTCAAAGGTCTTGTGAGAACAAACACAAAAACATGGTTCTAGATGCAAACTTTCGAATCAAAACAAGACTTTTCTTCAAGAACACAAGAACACTATTTTCTCTTACTAAAACCGACTTTAAATCAATGTAAGGCGTGCAGAACATGTTCGATCATGCAATGCAGCTAAATGATCAATAAGAATAACAAGAGTAGATTAAGATTCTAATCTCAAAACCTGAATCTAAGGGTTCAAACTCCAATGATCAAGCTTGGAAGTTCACTCTCTTACTCAAAGGCTTCACCTTCTTCTTCCTAGAGTCTTTCTCTCTAAAAGGCAAGATTTGATACAAAATAATATGTTTCTCTCGACAGTCACTGACTTAACCCTCTGCTGGGACACGTGGCATCGGCTGATTGGCTCTACTAAAAAAGGTGACTGGCTGACAAAACAAGACTATGACAAAGTGTATTCAACAAGCTAGACGGTAAGAGCACTCCGGCAAGTGATGATCTCGGCTAAGGGCAAAGCCTCGGCAAGTAGGGTGACAACGACATCGGCTTGGAAGGACAACACTTGACTAAGCTGTGCCACACCTTGGCCTAGATGTGCCACACCTCGGTCTAGGTCATACCATTGCAGAAACAAAATCACTAAGTGCAAGGATCAGGGATCTAGAACGCCTAGATAACAGCATCTCGGCTTAGATGATGCACATCTCGGCCTAGGTGACGCACACCTCGGCCTAGATGATGACATCTCGGCCAATATGTCAGGGTGAAGGTGGAGGTCAACCGAAGTGGTTCCAAGATAGTTCTAAGTGTGGAAAGGTTCCAAGGTGTCTAGGCTTAAGATGACCTCGGCAATACACCAGGCAAGAACACAACATGCAAGCAACACTCAAGCAAAACAAGACAGGATTTGCAAATGCACATAACAAAACAAGATCATACATAAGTGTATGCAAGTATGACTAAGTTGAAGGGAGGGTTGTTACAGTGCTCAACCATGTTTGTGTGAAAACAAAGTAGATGTTTGGAAGTAATTACCAAACAATCCATCAAAGAAAGGACTATCCCTCAAGTGAATAAAAAACATGGAACTAAATGTTTGGGAGACCATTTCAAATTTACAATCAAATTGCCCTTCAGAAGACAAAATGTTAAATTTATAATCAGTACGCAACTTTTTTCTTGCAGATTCACCCCATCTTAACTTTTGTTTTTGTTTTTTTGATCGGCAAACTTTTGTTTTCTTCCATGAAAACAAATGCTTAAAAAATGTTGGTATAAAGTTTTAGGCACAGATACCAAATGGCTATCGGGTATGCATCAAAAACACATGTCAAATGCATAGCAACCGGTGGAACTAACGCAGAGAGTGTGAAACTAAGCTAACTACAAGTTCTCCATAAAGCACCCAGCACCACAGAGCCCTTCATCTTACTGGGGTGTAAATACCAAGAGACATCTCAAACTCGAAGCAAAGGTTTGTCAACATTTAACACCTAGACCAACTTGTATACCCAAATCCAAATACATTACCATGGAAATTAACAGCCAGCAACAGAAAACAACATGAATAAGAATCAGGAGAGGTGAATGAGTAGAGACATGCAGGACCGTCATAGAAATAATTGAGAACATTAGTATTTGGAGCTGACATTTTTCAAGTTTGCAAACCAAGATTCCACCCATCCTTCTGTCAAAGATCATTAATTTTTGCAATCATCAATCATCCTATATCTCCATAGAAGATGCCACCTTCAGTTTACACAAAACATATCCCACACTTGAGACAAGTGATTGGAGTTAAAACTGACTCCCAATTACTCCATTCCTTTTCCTTCAATAGAACCAAAACCATGAAACTAAAATGATGTATTTCTGAAACTAATGTTTTAATGTGTTAATCTATTATTAGATTCAACAAATTTAGAAGCATACGAACACATCATACAGGTGAAAAGGAGAACATCAAGGACAAGCAAGGTTGTATAATATTCAAAGAAGACTACACAAAAGTTTCACTTGCACTGGCAAAAATCATTCCAAAATACTGAAGCTTCTGAAGGCAGACATCATTACTTATTAACAACAAATAGAAAAACACTGCAAGGCTAACAAATTGATATGCCTAAGCAGGGAATCCTCAGCAAAAGACACAACCCGAATTCAATAGAAACATCAATAACACGCAATGTGAAAATCAACTTTTAGAACAATCAAAAAGCTCAATTGAGAGCAGCAACAGGGTTGTTACCCTTTTGAGCAAGCTTTGTCCATTCAGTATGAAATGACCCCGAGCGATCAATCCTCTCATAGGTATGTGCCCCAAACAAGTCCCTCTGAGCCTGAACAAGGTTTGCAGGAAGCCTTGCCCGCCTATAAGTATCGAAATAAGCAAGACTAGCACACATGCCCGGAGTACTAATCCCGGCTGAAATCGCCAACCCAACAACTCTCCTCCACGCCGCTTGCCTCTGCACCATCTCTCTAGCGAATTCCGGGTCCACTACCAAGCTCGCCAAATTCGGATTCCGTCGATAGGCCTTCTTAATCCGATCCAAAAACACAGCTCTAATAATACACCCACCTTTCCAAATCCTAGCCAATTCCCCCAAATTCAAATTCCAACCCTTCTCAACACTCTTTGCCCTCAACAAGTTCATCCCTTGAGCATAACTACAAATCTTTGAAGCATACAATGCTTGCCTCACATCATCAATCAATCTCTTCTTATCAATCCCACTCCTAACTGCCCCAACCTCCTCTTTCAATCCCGCCTCTTTCAAAACCTCGGCCGCAGATTCCCTCTCCTCCTTCAACCCACTCAAGTACCTGCAATCCAAAGAGGCCGCAATCGTCGGCGCCGCCATGGACAGCTCGAGCATGCAAGCAACACTCAAGCAAAACAGTCCCCTTCATCCCGGTCTTGTCCAAAATCTTATCCACCAACTCCCCATCTCCATCCTCATCCTTCACTCTAAAAATATCCGCAGTGATTTCAATCAAGAAACTCTCAAGCTCCCCTCTGTTCCAATCACTGAAAATCTCACCCAATTCAGCATTCGACAAACCCCCAACATTCTTCAACACATCATAAGCCTCGGAAATCAATTGCATATCACCATATTCAATCCCATTATGAACCATCTTCACGAAATTCCCAGACCCTCCTTCCCCAATATAGGTGACACACGGACCATCCTCGACTTGGGCTGCAACCTTCTTGACGATGTCCTCGATGTTGAGATAAGCCTGGTAGGAACCACCGGGCATGAGAGAAGGGCCATGACGAGCGCCCTCTTCGCCGCCGGAGACGCCCATGCCGAGGTAGAGGATGCCCTTGTCGGCGACCTGGAGGAGGCGGCGTTCGGTGTTTTCGTACCACTCGTTGCCGCCGTCGATGATGGTGTCGCCGGAGTCCATGTGGGCGGAGAGGGCGGCGATGGTTTGGTCAACGGGAGAGCCGGCTTTGACGAGGATGATGATGGATCTGGGGCGGCGGAGGGAGAGGACGAAGTCGCGGGGGGTGTAGTGGCCGGTGAGAGGGAGGAGGCCCTCGCGGTGAGCTCGATCTAGGGTATCGTCGACTTTGGAGGTGGTGCGGTTGTAGACGGAGATTGGGAAGCCTTTTTCGGCGATGTTGAGAGCTAGGTTTTGGCCCATCACGGCGAGACCGGCGAGGCCTATGCGGGAGAGAGCTGGTGAAGCTGCTTCCATTTTTGAGAGAGAGAGAGTTTTAGAAATGGAGGATGGATGGAGTGTTGGAGTCGAATATGTATGTATGAGAGAGAGAGTGACGAACTCGTCGAGGGAGCGAAAGGGTGGCGACCTGAGCCACCAACGAGAGGGTGTCGTAAACGACGGTGAATCCTAGGCCGAAAGGACGCCTCACTCACTCACTGGGAACGACGTCGTTTCCAGTTTACTATTCATTTCCCCACTGGATGCCATGTCACATGAATCAGTTTATGGTTTTCATCTTTGCGAAAATAGACAGCTTCAAGTCACCAAACCCTGCGTTTGGGAAGAGCAATGGTAGAGGGCCCAAATTCTGTGGCTCAAATGTGGTTCAAATGGTCAAAACGACATCGTTTTGAGTACAAAACAACATCAAAATGGCCAAAACGACGTCGTTTTGGCCATTTGAGTTACATTTGAGCCACAGAATTAGGGCCCCCAAACATTTTTTGTTTGGGAATTGGGTTGGTTGTTTTACTTTTTAATTTTTTTTGATAAAATTTGGGATTAAAAAGTTTGGTTTGAAAAGAATTTTTAATTTTTTTAATTTTTTTTGAGAGAAAAAATGTAATAATTATGGATTGAATGTGATATTTTTTCTTATTGAATTAAAAAATTTATTTGTTTTTTGTGACTATTTTAGCCCAAAAAACCTTCAAACCAACTTGCTAAATGGAGGTTAATTCCGGGGTTGTTTGAGATGTCTTAAATAAGTGTACTTTTTGACTTTTTAGGCCAAGTTTGGGAAGACTAAATAAGTGCACTTTTTGATTTTTTATGAAATATGGATTGGATTTGAGTTGGGTTTGAAGTGATGTGTTAGAGAGGTGATGTGACTTAAATAAGATGATGTGACTTAAATAGGATAGTGACTTTTTGAATTTTTAGATTTTTTGGAGGATGTCAAACTTGACCTTAGACTAAAAAGTTGAAGAAAAAAATATGGTTGTTTGGGTTAACTTTTTAACTTTTTATGAAAAAATATATATTAAAAAATTATATAAATTATTATGTAAGGAAAAATTAGGATTGAGAATTGTACAGTCGTACTTTTTAACTTTTAATAAATAGTGATAACTTTTAAACTTTTTAAATAACTTTTTAACTTTTTAACTTTTTTAAGACAGGTCAAACTTGACCTCAATCACATGAAAGATGAAGATAAGTAGGGCTGAGCAAGGAATCCGTAAAATCCGTAATCCGATCCAGTCCAGTCCAATCCGATAGGTTTGGATTGGTTTTTTGAATCCGTGGTTCGGTTCCGGATTGAAAAATTAAAAATCCGCAGTACACGGATTGGTTCCGGATTCAACCCCACGGTTCCGGATTGGAACCGATCCGGACCATATACAAATAGTATATATTTTTATTATATATCCTCCCCATAGCATCTTCTCTTATTCTATATAAAATCTAAACTCAAACCTAAAACCGTTTAATATCTTCTTTTATTACTTTTGTTTGTTAGTTTTTAGTTTTAATTTGTAATGGTCTAAATATTTATGGTGAAACCAGTTTTCTTATGGTTGTTTAAATTCTAGCACAGTATGTCGCTATTATAGAAATAGATGTTGCTATTGTGGAACTAATATAGCGCTATGTTTATATTTTTATGAAATTCAAGTGTTATATATATATTTTTTATTTAATTATGTGAATCCGTGGTCCTAAACCGATCCAATCCGTATTTAAATGGATTGGTTCGGATTGGTTCCATGATTTAAACGGATTGGATTGGTTCTAATTTTTCAGGAACCGTAGATAACGGATTGGTCCTGGTTTTATCCCAATCCAATCCAATCCAATCCGAACCATGCTCACCCCTAAAGATAAGTAGTTTGCTTTTAGGGTAAATTACAGTACCACTATTTTAAAATTTAAAAAAGATAGCCTCTGTTAAGTAGTTTGCTTTTAGGGTAAATTACAGTACCACTATTTTGAAATTTAAAAAAGATATAGCCTCTGTTTGGGAAGGGACTCTTTGGACTATTTTGGTTAAAATAATCACAAAAAATAAAATAAATTTTTTAAATTCAATAAGACAAAACATCACATCTAATCCATAATTATTACATTCTTTCTTTCATAAAAAAGTTAAAAAAAGTAAAAAAAAAAACAAAAGTCCTTCCCAAATCAGGCTTTTTAGCCCTAGGTTAAAATAGCCAAAAAAAAAACTAAAAAGTCAAAAAACCAACCCACTTCCCAAATGACACCATTAATTTTATACTTTTGATATATTATATTAATTTTTCATTTAGTAAAGTTAAATAAACTGAATCTAATGTATATAGTGACTAAATATTAAAATAAATAAAGATAAATACATATTTTTGCAAATAAATGATGATATCAATTTTTTTAATCATATGATTAATGAATTATTTGTTGAAAAAAATTATTTTTGATTATTATTTTTTGAAAACTTTTCACTAATAATTAACTGAGATCCACACATATGAGTCGAAGTGGTAACGTGATCGTTGCCGTGTGACGAAGAAGAGTATGTATTTAGTTGGTGAAAATCAATTTTCATGTAAATGGAACATGATGTTGAACTGTGCCTCATGACACATGTCATATGTTTGAATAAGATGCAATTCTCTTGTCCCACGTAGGAAGTATAGAAGGAGGTTGAAGTGTTTATGAACCAAGTTGGGTTTTGGCTCTTAGGTCATCACAAATTTTGTAAAGAGGGGAGTTATGAACCAAGTTGGGTTGAATCCAAAAACAATACATGTGCTGCCATCCCACCCAGCATTGAATCAGGTGTGGGTGCAAGTGTGGGTTGGGTCGGCTCGTTTTGCGCCAAAATATTTGAAATTTGAAATTGAATTCTAATTGTCTTCTCCAAACAAGTACCTTCCATCTAGTCATGTCCGTCTATCATATTTTTTGTGTAGTTTCAAACAATTGCCAACAAAGCCTATAAAAAGGCAACCTCATTCCCATTTTCTTTCATTCCGAAAATTCCTTCCAAAGCTTTCATACATTTGTTTGAGTGCAAGGTATAGTTTTTCTTTCATTCCGAAAATTCCTTCCAAAGCTTTCATACATATTTGTGTGTGTAAGGTATAGTTCTAGTTCGTTGTACAAGCAAAGAGAGATCTATTTTTACTTGTAGCGATTACTGTACTTTGAAAACAAGACATTTATTGTTCTTGAACACTAATAGAAAAGATGAAATTCTATTTTAAAAAACAGTGTTCAAATACTGACCTGAATCACAAACTTGTTCGTAAACAATCTGTAGAAGTTCTGTATAGTTTAATTTTATTATTTATTTTGTTTGCTTAAATTAATTATTTCTAAAATTATCGCCAACATTATTAATGAAGAATACCCAACTGTTATGCAAATGAAAACTTTTAAAGAAATTTTAATTTCTCGATTTAAATTACTCATCCATCCACATTGTTATTGTGACACCAAAAAAAAAAAAGAAATCAATTTCTTTCCAGTTTAAGCAGAGACTAGATCCTCCAGACAAGAAAATTGCGTCACGCCAATCATTTATCGCTTTTCATTGCTCATATCATGACGTGTGTACAATTAACACAAAGGTTAGACGATGTCATTTATGCAATATTTCTTGATAATTTTGACAAAATTATGATGTTTCTCAATTTCTTTGCATAGATTGGATAGTCCATTTTTTCTTAAAATAAAATACAATACAATACATTACATTATGAATTGATTATACAACAAAATTGACAGAAAAATCATGATGTCCTGAAATCAAAATTTCAATAAGCAAAAAACCTCATTTCTAGCAATCTTCTGAGCATCCATTAGCATTGTTGTTGGAATGAGCCCAATACTCCTTCACAAGCTGTCCAAAGAGAGACCCCTCCTTGTTCATGAGCTTCATTGGCTGATCATACTCTACTAGTTTTCCTGTAAATGCAATAGCATCTTTCATTGTTCCAAATAACTTCTTTCTGTGAGAAAGCAAATATAATTTTTTTTTTTGGATAATAAGGAACCTCTCCGTCTGTTTCAATGCAAAACATTCTCGTGGCGATTGTAGGGGTGGTAGAGGAGGTGGTGGTGGTGGTGGAGGCAGTGTGGTGCCATTAGTAAAATTTTAGTCTTGATATGTTTTTCACTTTTCAAAAATAGAAAATATTTTCCGTCAACACAAGATTGTTTTCCATTTAACCATGAAAAATATTGACTTTTGTTTCTATCATAACTGACACAAAAAATACGGAAAACGTTTTCCGCCAAAACAAACTAACACACAGTTAACTCCAAATTAGGGTTATCAATTAAGACAGCACAAACACAATACTGAGAGGAGTTGAACCTAGGATTCCAAATTTATGACTCATCTCAAAGCAAGTCATTAATCATTGGGTTAGAACGCAAAACTCACCGTCGCTAATAGCAAGCACCATTGTGCAGTCCATCACGGTTGGTATTCTATGGGCCACTGTGATTACAGTGCAGTCTTCAAATTCTGTTCTTATTGTTCTCTGGATTACAGAATCAGTGGCATTGTCAATTGAGGCCGTGGCTTCGTCAAGCACTAATATCTTCCTTCTCTTCAACAGTGCTCTCCCCAAACAGAATAACTGTCGCTGTCCCATGCTCCAATTTGATCCGTCTTGCACAACTGCCACGCTACATGGGTTAGTACAATTTTTAATTCCCCAAAACACCTAGAAAATAATACACATTCTGTTTCTTAACTCCTACCTAATGAGTCCAAGCCCTCTTCTTTCTTCTCAACAAGCTCTCGAAGTCGACACTTCGCAAGAACCTTCAAAACAGAAGCTTTTTGAAATGTTTGAGTAAAATATATCTTAGTCAATTCTAGGATCTTATAGAAACATACCTCCCATATTTCATGATCAGTATGCTCTGATAAGGGGTCTAGATTGTATCTGACAGATCCGCTAAAAAGAGTTGGATCTTGTGGAATGACTGCAAAGCGTGATCTGAGGTCATGAAGACCGATATTAGATATATTGAGGTCATCTATAACAATCATTCCCTCTGTAGGCTCTACCAGGCGAAACAACACACTGATCAGAGTTGTTTTCCCACTACCTGTCCTTCCAACAATTCCAATTTTGTGTCCTCCTTCAAATATGCAGCTAATACCGTGCAGAACTAGAGGAGCATTGGGCCGATATTGTACCTGCGTGTTTTTTTGTATAAACCCTGTATTTAGAGTTAGGGAAAAGAGAGGAAAATAATAATGATTTCATTGTTGTATTTACCTTCAAATCACGGATCTCCACTTTACCAATAGATGGCCAGTTGAATGCAGGACGGTAAGCTTCAATTATTTCAGGGGCTTCGCTAGGTATGTGCATGTACTGTTCTAACCTTTCTACAGAAATGATCAAATTTGCTAGTATGCACTGGCATTGGACCGCAGAAACGAGATAGATATTCAATGAAAGACCATATGACAGAGCCATGCCAATATATCCTGCCATCAAAACATTGATAACCCAACGTTGGAAAATTGTCCGATTGAAAACTTAGTTTTTATGACTTTTTGATCAAGAATTAGTTGAGCCAAGTTAAACCCCTCTATCAGTAAGAATTCTTCTTGATTATAATTCTGTAAAGGCCTGACTAATAAGCTGAAGTGGCAAGGCAAGTTTTATGGTGCCATCAAAAGAAGTTTGATTAAAATGTTACTTCTGGAAAAAAATTTATATATTGAGGCTTGGAGAATCAACAACACTGAAATATACAACCACCAGAGGTATATGAAATTATGAGAGTGGAGTTTTAAAGGCAAAGATAACGATCACTAACCTGAGTCAGAAGCTCCAAGATGAAACAAAGTCATGGCAAGTGCTGAGCATGACAGAACAATTGCGCATATTATCTCCAGACGTTGAATCAACCACTCGTTTGCTGAGAAACTATGGAAGAATGGACTTGCATTTGTGTCAATAAGGTGTAAAAACTCTGCAAAGAATCGATCTTCTTCTCCAAAAGCTCTAATGGTCGTTGCACCTGCAATGGATTCAGCAATATGGCTTGCTACCGAAGACTTAGTTGTGCCATCGATTCTCATCAACTCTTTTGAAGAAGCAAAGTAGTAGCTCTGTAGAACATATGCTTAATGAAAAAGCTAAGAAATCAAGCGAATCTTCATACAAGAAAGAAATATATTATGCATTATATTTGCGAGATATGGTGACATTTTGCATACAGGCTTGTGATTAAATGACTAAGACTTTGGCCCTTTGTGATAAACAGAAACTATCTAAACTCCAGATTCTTACCAATTGCACTTGATGAACCAGTGTTTTTCAAATTGTGACTTTGTAGTAGGTTTATTCTCCAAATAACTAATGCATTAATGGCTGATCCAATAAAAAAAAACATGATGCAATCAGCCAAAAGATTAGCAAAGGGAAATGGATGCCCCCCTTTTTAATTAACATTGTTGTTTGAAAACCATGCAGAATGTTGGGATTGGCATATTACCTGTAACAGTATGGTTGCATACACCGTGGGTATAATGACAAACAACATAGGCCAGGTAAGAAAAACCAATATTCCATAGCTGAAGTATGTGGTCATTGTTGATGCTAGCGTCATACTTAATCTCATACACAATTCAAGGTCCACGATACTCATATCAGAAGACACCTACAAAAGGAATTAGAAATATCAATACCTCATTATTTTAAGTATTATTTTCATCTTAGTACATTAGGAGGTCCTTACCCGACTGAGGATCCTTCCCAGGGGTGTTGAGTCATAAAAGGACATTGGTGCTCGGAAAAGAGATGTCATTAGCTTAGAAAAAATAGCTTTCGATGCCCTGAGACCTAAAACCACTACTACATAAGATCTAAGGACCAAGAAGAGTGACATGCCACACCCAATCACCAAGTATATCATGAGGAGTTTCGATCTGCTTAAATTAAAATCATCCAACTCAGTAGCCAACCAAAGATTCTGTACCAACTGCCCAACAAGATACATGAGGTGGGATATAATTGCCAAGGTGAGGTACAAGAAACCCTTGCTCTGATTCAGATATTGCCGGTAAGGCTTGAGACCAGTGTTTCCTATTTCTCTTTCTTCTTGCTTGATCAATTGGTCTCCAACAGGTTCTCCTAACTGTTCCTGGGTATAAGTTTTCTGAATCTCTTCTTTGGGGGTTTTAGATCTTTGTTGAGAACCATTGATACCATGTTTCTCAGAAAAAGCAGCATCATTGTGTGCATTGACAAGGTATTGAAACTCTAGACTAGAAGCTAGCAACTGATTGTAGGTAGCTGCTTTTAGTATTTTCCCTTCAGACATTAGCTACAAATGAAAACCTCTGCTTAGAATGAACAAATTGTTAACTCAATATTAGCTAACAGATAACAGAAATCACGCGAGGAAAATCTAAGTTTGCTATGGTGGAGGTAGAAGATTGATGGAGAAAGTAGCCATAGTTAAAAGACTAACCAAAACAGAATCAAACGCATGAAGGAAGTCGACTTGGTGGGTCACCAGCAAGACTGTCTTCCCTGACAGAGCTCCCATGACATATTCCTGATCATAACCCATGTTAGCTTTGAATTGAAAAGCCATTTTAGAAGTAACATAAATTTCAGTAAGACAAGAGTTAGGCACATTAAATAAACCAGTTGCAGTATGAGCATCAACGGCACTGAACGGATCATCCAAGAGATATATGTCTGCATCTTGATATAGAGCACGTGCAAGTTGGACTCGTTGCTTCTGCCCACCACTGAGGTTTACACCTCGCTCTCCTATAACAGTGCCGTCACCAAACGGAAGCATCCCAAGGTCCTTTACTAGAAAACACTTTTCAAGTACTTGTTGGTATCTGCATTCATCCATGGCAGATCCAAAGAGAATATTTTGTTGTATAGTCCCAGTCTGAATCCATGATGTCTGCGAAACATATGCAATCTTGCCATAAACTTGAACCTGAAAAAAGAAAAACCAAAAAAACAGACATAGGTTGAATGAAGTAATAATCTAGAAGTGTTTTCAATGTAAGTTATAACTCCATTCCTCCCAAACATTTATGCTTAGTTTGGTTCATTGGAATGAAATGGACTCATTCCTTTAGACTTCTAAAGAAATGATCATTCCCTTACAATAGTGAATAATGATTCCATTTGCAATGTATTTTTTATCATTATTTTAGTAACCCAAACGTGAGAATGGATATTTTGATAGAATGATTATTCTATTCCATTTCATTCCAATGAACCAAATACTACCTTAGAACTTTCTAGGAGCAGTTAAAACTCTACTTTTCTGTCCCCAGATGTGATCTAATTATTTAACAACCTGTTGATCTGTGTAGTTTAGAAAATGCAGCATTATGCATGCTAAATTTAGATGATTATTTTGTTACTTCTCATCTCTAGAAAATGCCAAATTTCAAATTGAAGGCGATAGTTCATTAAAAACCCATGTTTCAAAACTAAGTGAAATGAGAACTTACAATGCCATCAGTGTATGGAACCTCTCTGAGAATTGTGGCTAAAAGGGTTGATTTACCTGAGCCAACTCCTCCACATATAGCTACCTTCTCCCCACACTTAATTATCAAATTTATGTTTGTCAGAGTGGGCTTTAAAGAATCAGCATCCCATGAAATTCTGGTGGAATCGATAACTACAGACTGCTCACGTTCCTCCCCATGGCTATTTTTGTTGATATGCCTGTTCTGCAGTTCAGGTGCCTCGAGAAACTTCACAATCCGAGTAAATGAAACATTTGCTTCGATGAACACTCCAGCAACGTCAGGGATTAACCGAATTGGCTCCTGAACAATACGCAAAGTTGCAAGAAATGTGAAAACATTACTAGTATTGAGAGGAATCCCGAGCATGTAGCATGCCCAAAAGGTAGCAACTGATACTATGATTGGAGAGGACCAAAATAGAACTATATAGTAACCCTTTTGTGACTGAACTGCAGATAAACAGTCGGCTTCTCCTTTCCTAAGCCGTTCTATAACATTCTTGAAATGTGTCTCCCAAGCATACATCTTCAGAACTTTCATGTTTGCTAGTGCTTCTGTGATACCCTTTAGCCTCCCGTCTTGTGCCATCATGATCTTTGTCAGATAATTGTGCTGCAATTTGGCCACTGGATAATTTCCAAGCACAGTTAATATTATTACTATAAGGGCTGCAATAGTTGCCAACCCCACAGATAAGTAAATAATAATCAAGGCGAGACATATCTGTAGGCCTGTTGTCCATATCTGATGAAACCAATATGGAAATTCACCAATTTTATATGCATCTACTGTGACATAATTCATTATCTCGCCAGGAGAATGAGTTGTCTTAGCAGCATTTGAGAGTCGGAGTTGCTTCTGATAAATTGCTGCGGATAGCAAAGATCTTACTTGGAGTCCAATTAGTCTAGTTTGGAAGTACCATTGCCTCTCCGACAATGATTCTAAGCATTTCGCAAGGAAGAGCCCAGCAGTCAGGGCATAGGTCTCGTATTTAAAAGTTTCTCCCCCTTCAGCAATCCTAATGAACGCATAAAGAAACATCGGGCCAGTAGACAGTGTGAGTATCTTGGTCAATGCAAAGAATCCAGAAATTAAAATAGCTTTGCGTTGGCAGAAGAGTATTGCCAACAGATTGCTTTGTTTCGATTTACTCAGTTGTTCCATAAACTGTAAGTAGCATGTCTCCGCTTGATCCGCTTTCCGTAAATGTGGAATATCTTCATCCTTAATAGTTTTCTCTTTACCCTTCTTCATTAATGAATTCAACCACCAAAATGACATTCTACTAAGTAATCCAGCAGTGGCAAAAGGAGTTTCATTATTGCCCTTTGAATTAATTGTACCAATGAAATCAGTTTCTTCACCTTTCAGATGTCTATACAAGGCATGGTGACTAATGTCTCCTTCATTTTCTGCATAAATGTGTCCCTTAAATGCAGAAAACAACAGTAAAATCGCTCCAGGAAACGACAGCATGTCTAATACCATTTTGACAGACACTAGTTTGTCCACAATTGATTCCCTCACAGATGCAACGCAGAGAAATCCTGCTAGCACGAACCCAAGAATTAAACAAAGCTTTCGTAATGGGATAACTTGAGCTTGTCGTTTCTCAAGGCTCAACGATAAACTTAACAATAACCACACGAACCCCTGGCACAACACTCCTAGCCATCCATGGAGAGGCAAAATGGTCTTCTCCGCATTCAAGTTCTCTTTAATTGTCCAAACCCCCAAGCACAAGTAAGCCAAACCCAGACCGCCATTGAAAATGGCAGAGGAAATTGACAATGGAGAAATGCCTAATTGGGGTTGTGAGGAGGACACGGTCTTTCTCGAGGAAAATTTACGAATGGCAAAGAATAAGAGAATGAACAAAAGCAGCATATCAACAGAAGTGACCAAAAAGTGGTTGATGCATGAATGTGGAGAGAAAATGGCTGAAATACCAGAACTGCAACTCGTTTCAACCTCGTCTGAACAATTAGAACCTCCACAGAAAACAGTCCAGAGACCCATAATGTATCCTTGTCTTCAAAAAGCTGCACTAGGACATAGACAAGAAACAGGATTTTTCAGAGTTTGTTGTTAACTAGTAAGTATTAGATTTCAATGCTTGTGGAGTGAAAGATGCCATAGTTGACTTTCCATTGTATCATCTATAGTTGACTTTCCATTGTATCATCTATGTGCTTATAGATTGACAAGTCATTCTAGAATTTAGAAATGATTAAAGCAAAGATGTCATAGTGCAAGTGTTGACCATTAACAAGTCATATAACAAAAGGTTTAAAAAAAATAATTCATAGCATTGATCATTGATATAAAAGAAAACAGTTGTGCATCATTTCTGAAACCAGGTAAAAAACTGAATGCGAATTGATCTAAAAGCTATTAAAATCAAGACATCTCGTTACTTGTGGAAGAAGAAATCAAATTACATATAATATATGTCACTTGGTTTCAACATTAATTAGTCACATGCAGCTTGTCAGTCACATTAATTATTTCAATTATTTGTGATATAAAAAATGTCATCTGGATCTGCCTGACAGTCATTGTCTGCTGAAGAGCATGTCTACTAGTAGGTGGAAATGTCTTACTATACATACATACATACATGCATGAAGTTATGCTTCTCTGCAAGGGGTGAAAGCTTAATCTTTGACATTAGCTATGAAGCATGGCTACTTCAACAAACATGCCATACCCGTACCGAGTACTTACCGACGTATGATACTTCTGCATACGTACCGAGTACACGAAAAACGTACCCAAATTTTTTCTTCTAAATTTTTACCGTACCCAGATGTACCTAGTATATACTCAAGCCGTACCGTATTTCAGTTGAAACAATAATTTTTTCTACTACAGAGATAAAACTCATTTTGCTAAACTTTTATTTTATTTTATTTTTAGTTTTATACTTAGCATGATTTAAAATTAAGCTACAGTTTGCAAGTTATTTAATATATTGACATTTAATTTTGATTCAAACCTATATTTTTGGCATTAAATATTAATTATATATTGGATCTTAACAAATTAAACTATTTAATTAATTTTTACATTACTCTAAATTAAAAATAAATATTTTTTTACAAGCGTACGAAGCCGTACCTGTACCCTACTTTTTTTGGATTTTAACGTATCGACGTACCTGTATTGTACCAGTACTAGTACTAGTACTAGTACTAGTACTCGTACCCGTACCCGTACCCGTACCCGTACCCGTACCCGTGCTTCATAGGACATTTGTTACACAATTGACTACATTGAAAAACTAAAACCCCAATCCTTAACCTTGTCTGTGAAGGATGTTCAGTTTAAGCTCAAATGTGAGATTACTACTTAACATAAATGTTAAATCATAAACAAGGTAGCATACTTAACTTGACATGGGGCCTTTAAAAAAAAGAAAAAAACCCTTGAAAGAATATCACCTCAAATACAGAGATTGTTGTTGGACAGTTTCCCGCATTGATTTCCTTCAATTTGAAGAAGTTCAATAATCTCTACAGTTTCTAGGCAGATCAAAACACTTAAATATTTTATTTATTTATTTATTTATTTCAACGAAGATCATCAGGTATATAGATAAATTAAAGGGTAGCAAAAAAGATAAATAAATAAATAAAATAGTGATACAAACCTTTGAAATGAGTTTAGAAGTTAGTTTCTTTGTCCACAGTCCACATCCCCAAATGCACAGCAAAAGAGCAACATATGAGCCTCTTGCATAGTGAATTCTTTGCAGCTGGAAAACCAAATTAATACAAAAAAATAAAAATAAAAAATACAATGATGATTGGGTAACCAACTATGCAATATACAAATGTTATCTCTCTTCAAAACATGCATCACATGTGACCACCACAGTGTGATTATTAGTGTCAAATTGTACCTAACAGTAATGATAGAGACCCTCACAAAACACAAGTCCCAAAATAATCTGAATCATTTATGTCACTGTCAGACACAACTCCCAAAAAAAATTCAAACACATCAATGATCAATACATTAGTGGGGTCATGGGGACTCTGTTTTGTGGAGTCCCAAACATTTTTCTTGTACCTAATTTGTGCCCTCACACATCTCATTGAATATATATTTAAACAAATTTCTAATACATATATATTAATGTGGAATCACCATGAATGTCAAAATATAGTATACACTCAGGTGTTCTGTATTTGAATGTTCAAAATACAAAATTTGTACTCTTGTTGATGATGTTTCAGTCATACGCTTGCTGGCTACCATTTTAGTTATTTTAAAAATTGCTGAGCTTGCTCACTATTAACAAACAAATATAAAGCATGAATTGCAATACAAGCACACCACAACATTAAATAACTACTAAAATGGGAAAAAAAAAAAAAAAAAAAAAGGAGGAGGAGGGTTGGCAATGGCATTGATGACAATCGACTTTTGGTTTGTTGCTTTTAGCCTACGATTTGTGTTGGCATAAATAATAAATAATATATATATATATATATATAAAAGAAAAAAAAAAGAAAAAAAAAAAGGAGGAGCAAGAGTAGAAAAGAAGAAAAGGCATAGAAAAAGAAAGAAAACGACGCAGGACTCGGTGCCGGATTTTCCTGAAGTTGACGGTGCCGTTTCTGCTGCACATTTATATTGTAATTTTGTATTTGTTATTTTATTTATTTATTTTCTTTTGTTGGAGTTGTTATTTTATTTATTTATTTTCTTTTGTTGGAGTTGTTGGACTAGGGGTGTAATTTTGGCCCGTGGTTCGAGGGCGGCCCGAAGCCTACTCGCGGCCTAGAGGTGGGCCCGGCCTGTTAAGATCTGAGCCCAAGTCCAGCCCGAGGCCTGGGCCATCGTTTTGAAGCTCGGCCCGACCCGTGGGCCCGCTCAGTGCCCGCCCAAAAGCCCAGCCCACCGGAGACCCAGTATTATTTTTAATAAAAAATAATAAAATTTTAGTAGAAAAAATTAAAAAATTTGTTTAGACCTGCCCAAGGCCCAAGCCCAGGGGCCTGCCCAAAACCCGAATAATCCTCGGCTTGGGCCTAGTTTTCTGGCCCGTGGGTCGGCCCGACCCGACCCGGCCAGATTTTTTGGAGGAGCCCGCAAGGCCCGACATGGACCTAGTTCGGTCGGAGCCCGGATAGGCCGGGCAGGGCCAAAATTACACCCCTATTGTTGGTGAACAAAGGCGAATAGTATAGAGAAGGGGTTTGGTTTGGGTAGATCATTTTGTGATCGATTTTGGTAATTTGAATCCCTTACTTTATGAGATCTGTTAAATATAATGGTCTCGTTTGGGAAGTGGCTATTTTAGTAGGCTATTTGGTTTTTTGACTATTTTAGTAGGCTATTTTAGTTTTGTGTTTAGAAAGATGAAATGAATTTTTAGTTGAGTTGTTGTATTGGAAAGTGTGTTGAAATGATGTTTAAATTTAAAATGATAGATTTATCCCTAACTTTTTATTTTTAAAATTGATATAAAGGGGCAAAATTAATTTTGCCCTTGCTATAACACTGTTCGGCTGTGACAGTGTAGGCAGCAGCCTATTTTTTTTTTTTTTTTTTTTGAAAATCAGTAAGAAGGTGCTACAGTGCTGGCTTTTGGGCTAATTTTCCAAAAGAAGCTATAATAGTCTCAACCTCTGATTGCCAAACACCCCCAATATTTATATAAAAAATTAAGATGATATTATCAATATTTATATGTTTAAATCATAGTTGTTTTAGAAAAAAGACGACAAATATAATTTTAGAATATCTATTCATTTTTTGTAATACAAATTTGATTCAAACATATAGACATCGATATTCGATCATCTTAATTTTTTACATGAATATTCTCCTCAATGAGTCCTAAAATGTGAACGATTTAAATCACTGAAATTAGTCCAAAATGGGCCTACTAAGCCCAAACTCCGTCTTAAGCTAAAATGACTTATTTGAAAGAAGCCAAACCCTAGAAAATTTTAGGGATTGACTTCTCTCCAGTTCCAAATTGGTTTAGACAGTCCAATCCGACCCATTGAGCCCACTCTTAGGCTCTGTTTCGATAATTCGAACCATTTAGATTTTAAAATTCATTATGTACATCATCTCTACAAAAAATCAAATCAATTGAATAACGAAAATCACATGTTACGAGGCCTAAAGTGATTCGGATCATCGAAATGATGCCCAACAATGGGCTCAAAGTTGGACTGTCCAGTCCAGTCCAATTTGGTGTTAGAGACAGGCCATATCCAAATTCTATTGGGGTGTGTACAATATGCATATCTAGTTACGACTTTTGTGTCTTTAATTTTAATCTATTATGTTATTAGTTATGAGTTATTATGATATTATTTTAGTTATGATTCAAGAATTCTTTATTATATCTTATGTAATATTTAGTTATAACTCTCATAATATTGAATTATGCTATTAATACTAAAAAATCTATAAACATAACTTGCATATGATAAGAGTGTATACTATAATATTACCTGAATAATATATTTTTTTAATTTATAAAATAAATATGGTGATAGATTACTCTACCTATCCGAATAATATAAGGCGGATTAACAACTAATAAGAGCACTAAAGTGTGTTCAATCTCGAAGCTCAGTTTTACAATATGTTTGATAATTTGGGAGGGGAAAAAAAATGATTAATTGTTTGAAGTTTATTTATTTGAAGATTTTTTTTAAAACTTATTTTTGTTTTAGTGATTTTTTTAAAAAAAATGTTTTTCAAAAAGGTTAGGCTTATAGTTTCAGCTTAATCAAAAGAACCGAAATATAAAAATAAAAAAAGTTCAACATGACAAAGATAAACAAAAAATAGTGAACTTTTAAGCTTATTTTAGCTTTTTAAATTTTTTTTCTTTTTGGAATTTTTCAAAAAACTAATTTTTAAATTGGTCTACATAAGACGGGTTGAAAAAGTAAAAAAAAAAAAAACATAATTTTGAAAAAAAGTATTAAAGAGAAAAAAATTTAGAAGGCTTTAAGAAAAAAAAAATTAACATAATTTTGAAAAAGAAAAATGTTTAGTGGCCACAAATTCTGTGACTCAAATGGCCCGAATATGTCAAAACGACGTCGTTTTGCACCAAAAACGACGTCGTTTTGGGTGTTTCGAGCCATTCGAGCCATGTATTTTTGGGCCACCAACCATTTGCTAAGTTTCACACACCCTTTTCATTTTTCTTTTCAAATTCCTTTCCTAAATCCCTCAACTAAACACAGCGTAAGTATTCCGAAACACCCAATTATAAAAGAAAAGAAAATATTGTGATTTCTCTTATTGTTTGGATAAATAAGAGGTAAAAGAAAATATAAGATATTGATTTATCTCCTATTATGTTTATTTAAGCTGTATAAAAGAAAAGAAAAGTACAATACATTTTATAGCCAAATTAACCTTTGGATAAAAATTGAGAGCTCTAATTTTAGATCTCTGGAGGGAGCTCTAGTAATATAGTAAGGAGTGTGGCCGATATGTGATGTAATGTGCGTGGCTATGTTTTTTTTGTTTTTGTTTTCTGTCTCTTGTCACATCATTAGAACTCTATTTAGAATTCCAAAATTAGAACTATCATTATTGATTAACCTTTTATAGCCATTGGGGTATAGTTGATTTCTTTTCTCTGTCAATCTCTTCACTTTTGAAGAGAGTCATAACAGAGACTATGAGAGAAATGAGTTTCTCTTCATTTCTTTCTATTTTACTCACTTATCCAAATGAGTGATATGGATCAAGAGAAATGATTTTTTTTTTCTTAACAAAAATAAGTAAATATTTTAGATTGAAAATAGTAATAATAAAAAATAGAGTTTAAATTGATAAAATTAAAAACTCAAATATTTATTTTATTACCAAACTCAAACCTTAGAGTTTTTTTTTAAAGTTAAATTTTTCTTTTTAAATTTTTTTTTTGTCAATTTAATCATATAATCTTCACGATAATATTATTATTATTTTTTTATTGATTGGTGATAGTGTCACATAGGCCTTGTTTGAGAAGGGATTATTTTAGTAAAAAATAAATAAAAAGACAGTTAAATTTTCCTTTTTTTAAATTTTTTTTTGTCAATTTAATCATATAATCTTCACGACAATATTATTATTATTTTTTTATTGATTGGTGATAGTGTCACATAGGCCTTGTTTGAGAAGGGATTATTTTAGTAAAAAATAAATAAAAAGACATAAAGGCATCAAAAAGTTAAAAATTTGACATACATACATCTGAAAAAATTGACTTTTGCTAGTTAAAAAAAATTAACATACTCTCACATTAACTTTTTCCATAAAACTAAAACAAGAGAAAAATAAGAATTTCAGACAAAAAGCTAAAATATTACCTTTCACATTTTTTCTATACAACTAAAAACAAGTCAAAAAAAAAAAAAAAAAATTAAAAACAGCAAAAAAAAAAAATTAACTTCCAAACTTTTTTCACTCATGAAAAAATTAAAATGTCAAAAAATTATTAAAAAAAACCTCATCTCAAACAAGACTATAGCATCACTACTATACCCAATATTTCCTTGATCGATGATACAAACAGAGAACAAACCCACTGCAACAAATTAAGTTTTCAAAAACAAAAATCTAGTTACAGAATCATTTTCTAGGGATAATATTTTAGTTTTCAAAAGAGCTATTGTTGTATTTTTAGCAACAAAATTAGATAGTTAGTGATACATTACTAATCTTTTAGATCAAATTTTTTTGTCTAAAAAGGTAAATCTTTTAGCACCAAATTATTATGTCTTTAAAAATACACTTTTTAGCGACATTTGCAAAATTTTATTGTAAAAAATATATATATATATATATTCTCTTTGGGACAACTTTTTTGCATAATTCTAATTCGCGATATCGGATAGCGTAACGGTATAGATCGCAGAGTATCGATATTAGTATTATCGGTTGGTATGTATTGGAATCGGGTGAAACAGTCGTGAAATTTTAAAAATCATTAGCAATTCCTCTAAAACTCAATTTTATGCATTTTTTTGTGCGACTCTTTCAGCCTTAATTTGTCACATTTTAATCAAAATTTTGATATGTAAGAGCACTTTTGGCTCATTTTTAACTAAATGGTATATATATTTATTTTAATCTCAAGCTTTTTTTGGCATGTGTTAAACTTTTAATAAAAAAATTGATGTGAAAATATTTTAAAAATTGATATGTTAAACTTTTAAAAATTGATGTAGGTGTATAAACAAATAAATAGGAAAAAAAAAAAAAAACACCTAGACATTTAAAGATTGTTTGGAATGTTCTAAATAAGTGCACTTTTTAACTTTTTATAAAAGGATGTATAGAAAAGTAGAGATGAGATATTAATTGATGTGACCTAAAAAAGATAAAAAAATTAAAAATGTAGACTTATTTAATCTATCCAAACTTGGCCTTACAATCTACAAATTCACCAAAAACACAGGCACCTTCGTATACCTCTCTCTTCTTATCCATTTCAATCTCCCATATCATAATATGACCACAAACATTCCTATCCCCTCTCTCTTTCTCTCTCTCTAAAAGATGGCTGATGTTGCCCGAAAGTTGCAAAGCAATGGCTTTTTTGGCCAAATGCAGACAACAGCTTTAGACCAACACTAAAACAAGACCAAAAAAACAGAAAAAGAAAAAGAAAAAAATACGAAACAAAAATAGAGCATAGCAAAACCCACAACAACTCACCAAAAACAGAGCAAAACAATAACAAAACAGGTTCTCTGCTCCGATTTCATCCGTATCGGCAATTGCAAATATCGGATTGTATCACCCCATATATTAGATTCAGGCCGCTATGTACCGGGAATCAGACGCTATAACTACGAATTTTATTCTGACTGGTATACCGGTCCATATCCGAATCGGCACTCTAATTTTTCGATACGAATAAGCCGGTACGGTACATACCAGCCGATATTTAGATTTGTGACAATTCTCGCAATGACAAAAAATTGTTTCCAAATATTTTTTTATAATAAAATTTTTACTTTTGGTGATAAAAAATTTAATCCTTAAAAACCCTTACACACACACACACACACACATATATATATAAACCAGCTCTTGCAAACAAACTCGTAAGCCAGCTATTGTTGAGAGAAGTCAAAAGCTAAAGAAAATATGCTTACAAGTTTACTCTTCGGATAATCTTACTTATCAAAGAAGTCAAATGCCAAAGAAAATTCGCAAACTTTGAATATCTAACATACCCAAGAGTTGTTAATGAATGATGGGACACAAAAAAACAGGTTCTGTACTCCGATTTCATCCGTATCGGCAATTGCAAATATCGGATTGTATCACCCCATATATTAGATTCAGGCCGCTATGTACTGGGATTCAGACGCTATAACTGCGAATTTTATTCTCACTGGTATACCGGTCCATATCCGAATCGACGCTCTAATTTTCCGATATGAATAAGCCGGTACGGTACATACCAGCCGATATTTAGATTTGTGACAATTCTCGCAATGACAAAAAATTGGTTCCAAATATTTTTTTACAATAAAATTTTTACTTTTGGTGATAAAAAATTTAATCCTTAAAAACCCTTACACACACACACACACACACATATATATATAAACCAGCTCTTGCAAACAAACTCGTAAGCCAGCTATTGTTGAGAGAAGTCAAAAGCTAAAGAAAATATGCTTACAAGTTTACTCTTCGGATAATCTTACTTATCAAAGAAGTCAAATGCCAAAGAAAATTCGCAAACTTTGAATATCTAACATACCCAAGAGTTGTTAATGAATGATGGGACACAAAAAAAAAAAAAAAAAAAAACACCAAAAATTTAAATCCAGAAAATTTAACAAAAAAACTTGCATATATACTAAATCATTCTCTAAAGTCACACAAGTTCAAAAGCTGAATTAGCATTGAACAAATGTTTATAATGAAGCTATATATAGAAATATATTGAAAGCCTAGACATCTCTTTACTATGTAGAAAATTTTCCATACCTGGTTTGGTCTATGAAATCTTCTGAACTTGTGGAATAGATTTGAATGCGGAGAAAACTTAGCATTACATAGCACATAGACAATGTTTTAGTTTCAAAAAGAATATTCTAATTAACAAGCTGTGGATTAGCTTCAAGAATTGGTTTTTGTGGGGTTCTATTTATATGATGGAAAAAAAATCAAAATACTGATAAAAAGGAAAAGGCAGTGTGAGCCACACGTCAAACACATATGCTTCGTTGGGAAGAATATTTTGCTAGTGGTTGGGGGAGAAGTTATTTAGTGGTATAGAAACATTGTTTCATATCACATAAATTATGACAACTTGTTATGTTATCTCTTTATAGGAGATAAAAAATGACGAGACTCACTATTTTTACTAATAAAATGCATGTTGCAGCATCATTTGAATTTGTCCCAGGGCAAACTATAATTTCTCAGTAGTTGGCTGACAAACGTCTAAATTCAAAAACCTTTAATCATTGTGGGTCCTGGCATGTCTTGGCTGAGAGGGTTCTTACTAGGCTTTGACAAATTTGGTGGTCCTGAAGCAGTCATGTCATGTCATGTCTAGTGATGGGTGGAAAGAATGAAATATAAGATTTTGTATTAAATGATTAAAAAAATTGATGGTAAAAATATTAAAAAATTATATTTTATTGATAAATAATGTTAAAAAATAAAAATAAAATACAAATAGATTAGTTGAGGCATGAATATTTCATTTTCTTTAAGGAGATCAAGTCTACTGCGGTAAGAAGAACCCAAATACCAATACAGCAGTCACAAAATTATGACTTGTCCCCTCCAGGATACAATAGCCTGACCATTTGTCGTCTGGTTCAGGCCAATTCTGCACAAGATGGTGAACCCAAAACTCTATAAATAAAAATACCCTTCTTTGCTAGTAATCTCTCAAGTATAAACAATAGTTAGTGTAGAAAAGAGTAGATGAGTGAAACTATTTATAGGCTATTAAGATCTTACAATTTACACCAAAAAAATAATAATGATCATGAATCTACAGAAAATGGAGAGTCTTCAAAAAATTAACTCACCACCAAGTCCATGAACCTAATTAATTTCCCACAAAAAAAAAATAAAAATAAAAATAAAAATAAATAAATAAATAAATAAAAATAAATTAAATAAATAATTAAATAAATAAAAGATATTAAAATGGTCCAACAAGCCCCCACTCATTGTAATATCAACAAGGACAATAGAGATTACCAAACAAAGATAGACTAGTATACATCATGAAGGTGTGCTATATATTGAACCTTCATTAGTGAAACAACAACTACTCCAGAGTCAGTAGTGGTATCAGATTTGAACTATGACTATTTAGGGGAAATAAAGTATTACTGCTCACACATAATGATTTAGGTGTTGACATAAACTTTTAATAGCCAGCACATTATGACCTTGAGCTAATCCTAATTTTCATGAGCATATTTGAGAATAAGCCATGTTCTCATAGAAAGCGGTCCCACTTCCATGCTCACATAGGTGAAATCTGTTAACGATGTTCCTGTAATTTACACACTCCACTCAACAAGAGCTATAGAATTTCATTAAGAGTATAAAGATTCAACCCTCCAACATTACAGGACAAATACACTTACATCATTGGGATAGACAACAAACTACCATATGATTCGTTCTTTCCATTATAGGATCTCTAGCCCCCAAGTTAGGTATCCTCATACATGGTTTATGATTTTATAGGCTTCACACACATCTCCTTCAATGTATTCCAAACCCCATCTCTCGCCAAGGCCATGGCCGCAAAATTATCACAAGATTTTACATAATTTACTGTTATGATGCCATTACTTAATTAGGATCTCATATTACTGTGTTTTCTTCTAATAGGTTTGGAGTTACCATTATAAAAATGGTTGTTCACTCTACCAATAGCAGCAGTGCTATCAGAACAAATTAACATGGGAGGAATTGATTTTTTCCAAAAAGGGATTTCAAGTAGCAAATCTCTCAACCAATTCGCTTCCTCACATGCTGAAGCTAACGCTATAAACTCAGCTTCCATTGTAGAATTAGCAATTATAGTATGGTTTTTATACTTCCAATATATAGCACCACTACCCAAGATACAAATATAACCCGAGGTAGAGAGAATCATCTGACAAAGTGTTCCAATTAGTATCACTATATCCCTCAAGTACAGTATGATACTTGCTATAAAACAAACCATAATTTTTGGTACCAGATAAATATCTCATAATTATTCCCATGGCTAGCCAATGATCTCAACTTGGCTTGCTAGTAAACTTGCTAAATACTTCAACAACATTTACAATGTTAGGTCTAGTACAGTCAGTAGCATATCTCAAACTATCAATCATGCTAGCATATTCCTTTGATTAATCACTTCTTTTTCATTTGTTACAACAGATAAATGTATACTTGCATAAAAAAGAGTAGCAACATGTTGCGGTCTAGAAAATTGTATTTCTTTAAATTTTCTCAACATAATGCGACTGATCAAGAAAAATGCCATCATTAGTCTTGGTAATTTTAATTCCCAAAATAAAATTGGCTTCACTAAGATCTTTCATATCAAAGTGGCTATTAAGCATATTTTTAGTCTAATTTATAATATGCAAATTAGAGCCAACGATAAGTAGATCATTCACATGTAGGTTAATAATCACATGTGCATTCTCATAAGTTTTATAATATATGCACTTATTACATTCATTAGTCATATAGCCATTCTCAATCATGTAGGAATCAAATTTCTCATGCTATTGTTTAGGAACTTGTTTTAAATCCTAAATGGATTTAGTTAGCTTACACACATTGCTTTCTTGGCCAGGCTCTGCAAAGCCCTCGGGTTAATCTATGTAAAACTCCATTTAAAAATGTTGTTTTCACATCCACTTGATGAATTTTTAAATCATAAATTGCAGCCATTGCTATCAACAGTCTAATGGATGTAACTCTAATAACCAGAGAAAAAGTGTAGCTATTTTTTCATGCTTCTTGGAGGGGTTTAGCCTCCTCAGGTATGATAGCCTTACAGCTCAGACTCCTGTGGTTTTGAATCTAGTCCCGCAAGTGCAATGTGAAACAAAAAAACGAATGAGAGTCCAAATCTGGCAAATCTTAGAAAATCCATTAATCACCAGAGGTGCCAAAAATGGACTACATTGCCAGATTTCTGAGTCGCCACCTAAATATTTTTGAAAAATTTAGGAAACCCGTGACTCGTGCCAAACGCCACTTGTCTGTCATAACCAAAGTGTCTCGGCTTGGGAACTTAGGTATGAGAGAGGAAGGTTATAAATTGAGCACCCTACTCACCTGATCAAAGATCTGTCTCTACTAATCATGATGTGAATTTTATGTACATTATATACTCATATTCTGATTATTAATATACTAACATTACTATGTGAAACAAATAAGTATAGATTACGTCACTTGCTTTGGAATGCTTTGATTTCAATCGTTTTTAAAAAGAGTTTTGAATATGTGCAACTTAAAGGAAAAACTAGCTCACATGTATAATAATCAAAGTCATTCCAATTTAAGCAAAATAGCCTTCATCCACAGGCATTCAAAGAGGTATTTCAAATAAGCACGTAGTAGTATACTTGTTATGGCAACACAAACACACATGTGATGCTAAAGCAAAAAAATGCTCACCTAATACTTCGAGGAAAGTTGAAGAAAAAAAAAACAATTAGAAAATGCATGACCCTAATAATGTACATGACTAATGCAACACATTACAAAATGCAACTACTAGGTTCGACTTATTAACATGTCATATGGATTAACTCAAAGCATGCGGTAACACACGTATTCAAGTAAGTAGGAAATGACAATGATATTCAAGAATGATGAACTGAACCTTAATGCATGCAAAAATAGATACAAAGCATGAGAATGATAAAAGAAAATATGATGTTATATACAACCACGGTAAGCATGTAAATAAAAGGGAGAAAGAAATGGGGGTTGGAAGACATACATCAAATGTTACAAATTTGCTCTCGTACAAGAGGGTTCGACTGGACTAATTCCAACTAATTATTACAAACACCGAATGAATTAACTAATTATTACACTTGCAAATATTATAACAAACAAAAACAAGGACAACATGCACGTGAGTAAGAACATCCTTCAGAAATTGCTCTATCTACCCTCTGAAGAGCTACCCCATTTTACCCTTAGCCAATGCTATGTTCTTCCAACAATAGTATGCTGTTTGTACACTCTGAAGCTTGGCCGGACCACAATGAGGCCTGACCGGATGCAATGAAATACGGCCGTGCCTCAGTTTGGCCCAAAAACCTTGTTTTGTTTTGCTAAAAAACCACCACTGCCGTACAACATGCTTGGCCGGCCGACCTGATCAGGTGGTCGACCGTACAGAATAATGGCCGGCCGGCCACTATTTATGTGGAAACCCTACTGCAACAGAACTGGAACAGAGCAAACAGAGTGTTTCCAAAAGATGTTCATCTTTCCTGCTCCCTCTTGTCATGAAGATTTTCAAGGAGAGAGTAAGTTTGCTTCACAAATAATCAACTATCGCAAGTTTTTTGCATGATAATCTTAGAAGCAATAGGAAAAGACTTTGTTAAACACAAAAAAGGCTATTCTCCATACGTCCTTCCTAACATGAAATTTATTCAAGGAAGAGGTAGACATGCTTCACAAATCATCAAACATCATAAGATAGTATTTGATGGTTATAGAAGAACCTAAAATGAAAGATGATAACAACTCAGAAATTGTGAAATCAAGCTAACTATCAAAAGCTTAAACACACGACTCGCCAAAGTTGTTGACAACTCCTCTTTTGTTCATGGAATAAGGATAGGACATCCATTTCCATGTTTCGAAAATGATCGGAAAGAGAGTTTTTCAACACTTTGACACGAAAGTTGCTACCTAGCTTCAAGGTGGACAATAATAATATGAAAGCAAGAAGTTTATCGCTAGGTAAGCAAACTTGTGGCGGTGTGGCTAAGCCTAAGCTCTAATCCTCCCATGACCACAAGGTTCCATGGCATATAGGGAAAGCTATAACAAAGTAAAATGATTAACTTAAACGGATTGACCGTTATGTCCTAAACATGATAAATCCGTGAGGGCTTATAACAATACAATTATGATATTCAAAGCATAAATTAACACATTTAAATAGCACACAAACAACACAAAAAAAA